AGCCCTAATTTGATTGTCAGTTTCTCCGCCAAAATAAAAAAAAAAAAAGCTCGATGGTTTCACTTTTGAAAACGCCATAGCCACACTCTCAGAAAAAAAGGTACAAAAGCTGTCACTGTGACAAATATCTACCATTCAGATATGTATCTTATAGGCACCTTTAGGGGTAAATAAGGTACAAAGGTAACTTCAGTGTTAATTTTTATATAATATTGTTGTAATTTTTACAGTTGTACTGTAGAATAAAGTTATTTTCTTAAACTATATATTTTTTATTTTACAGTGAAAAAGTATTTATTTATGTATTTTACCAAATTGTGCAGCGCTACAGTACAGCACAGCAAACCTAGAGCTTAAAAATAAATAAAAAAAAGTTTATCTATCTATCTCAAAAGTATTATCTAGTAAAATTAGCACTTTAATACTTTTAAAGTATTACAGGTTTCATAACAAAGTTTGACAAGTTCAAATTCTAAAAAAAGAAAAAAAATTAAAGGTGTATAGGACATTTACTAGTGTTTGAAATGTCTTTTTAAAGCAGTTAAGTTCATGCACAAGAATCACTCAATTTATATACTCAAAAGCAGCTGTTCAACTCAGTTTAGCATTATTTCGTAATTTCCGTATATTTAGGTGCCGCTTTCATATAGGCACAATGAGCTGCTGGATGTTGTTACGGTTGCACAGCGGGGACCTCCGCAGATCTCTCCTGCCTCTGTACTGTTCCCTCAGCCTGCGAGCTCTCAGTTCTGGAGCTATTAGCCGCAGCTTGAGAGAGAGTTACCGTATACTGCAGTTGCCTGATGATGGAGCCAGCGACGCTGCAGAGGTCAAGGAGGCTTACCTACACACGGCCAAGCTCTACCATCCAGATTCCGGCGCTCCCACAGCAGACGCTGCTCTATTTTCCCAGATAGAGGAGGCCTATCGGGCTGTTCTAGCCCACCTCAACCGACAGAAGTCAGCCTCACAGTATACACAATCAATGGAGGAAGAAGAGGAAGATAAAAATAAAAGTAATGCCCCTCAACACAGACATTACCTCAGTTTTGAAGGCATTGGTTCTGGCACTCCAAGCCAAAGAGAACGACAGTACCGACAGTTTCGTGTAGACCGCGCCACCGACCAGGTTCTGGAGTACCGACGGAAGGAGATAGAGAAGGCGGCAGCAGACGAAGGAGCCATGGTGACCCGAGATGCACGTTTGCGCAGCAAGCAGATCAAAATCACTCAGGCAGTGGAGAGACTGGTTGAGGACCTCATCCAGGAGTCGATGGCCCGTGGAGACTTCCAAAACCTCAGTGGCACTGGCAAACCGCTCAACAAGTTTGATCACAACCCGTATATGGACCCCATGACGCACAACCTCAACAGAATCCTTATCGACAACGGTTACCAGCCTGAATGGATCGTGGCTCAGAAGGAGATAAGGGAAACCATTGCTAAAATGAGGATGAGGTTGCAGGAGGTCAGGGCAAGGCTGGGAGAACACATGAGACACTCAGAAACTCTCCAGTGGAAGGAGCACTGCACTGCGTTTGCTGATGAACTGGGGAAACTCAACAAGAAAGTGGACAATTTCAACCTGATTGTGCCTCTTATGAGAAGGCAGATGGTGCATTACAGCCTGAAGAGAGAGCTGGAGAAAATACTGAAAACTGATCAGCTGCTCAGGCAGGAAAAGGAAAGAGAAAAAGAAAGGAAGCAAAAGGAGCAGATGGAGACAGCAAGAACATCTCAGAACACCAGACAAGGACTCATCACATGGATGCAGAATCTTCTTAAATGAGGCTGCAATAAAATGCGGAGTTGTATTTCACGTGTTGGCCTGTTATTAGTGTGAATAAGATTATTTTGCCCCTTCCTTGTTTTTATCATAATTGTAATACAGTATGAAACAATGATTTTGTTTTATTAAAAACTAGCAGAAATCTATCTATCTATCTATCTATCTATCTATCTATCTACACATATATTAAAATATCTTTATTACATTTTTATTACATTAATTTTTTTATTACATAAAATATTAGTACAAATTAAATTTCTATTTTAATGTATATATATATTTTTTAAATGTAATTGATTCTTGTGATGGCAAAGCTGAATTTTCAGCAGTCATTACTCCAGTATTTAGTGTAACATAATGCTTCAGATATTATTAATATGCTTATTTCGTGCTCAAGAATATTCATTATTATCAATTTTAAAAAGATTTGTTCTGATTAACATATATATGTACAAAAACGTATAAAATTATTTATTTTCTTTTTTGATTTTGGGGAGAAATAGATCTTTAATATTAGTTATTAATATGAACAAATTAAGTAAATTATTTGGCAGATAAATATTAATGTTAATTTTGTATTAATAAGGAGGCTTGGCCTTTTGACACTGTATAATTTGTCCCAAAGAGCCCTAAAATCGCTTAATAAAAAGGAATTTACTTCCAAATTCATTTTAATTACAAATTCCTTAAAAAGAGAGTGACACTAGTGATTTTGTCCACAGTCTCTAGAGGGCAGTAATTATTTTGTTTCTGTGGAGTTGTCATGCCAATCATTCATGAGCAAGCATGTAAGGTATTCTTGGAAAATCCTATTAGACTTCTCAAACATTCCATGACCTTATAAATGCCAATTGAACTAGCCATAAAACTGCAGATGAGATGACCCAGTGGCATTTATAAAACCAAACTGACTGTAGAATCTAATTGCTTGATTTATTTTTGACATAATGAACAACTGTGACACTTTTTTTTTTTTCAATTTAATGAAGCAGAAAATCAAACATATACTCTGTATAGAAATTACAGAAATCACCGGCTGTAATCTAGGCCTGCTCCTGCTCTCTTCCACTGTAGCCCGGAAGGTGTCCGAGGGCAGCTGGGTTGCTGATGACCACAGGAGAGGCTATACTAGCCCAGTCTTTAGCTATATACTGATGATATGGATCCTGTGAGTTCTCCACCTTCTTTGAGCGAATATAGCTGAACATGATGCCAAAGGTAAAGAAACTAAAGAGTCCCACCATCAGACAGATGTAGATCATGCTGTGACCTTTATCTGGGACCGGAGCTCCACTCAGATGCACAGGTGGATGATGTGGTGGCACATACGGAGCTGCTCCCACCAGCCATGTCTCATTAATGTAGTGCTGCAACCAGGATACTAGCAGAGCATGGACATATGTGTAGTTCTGCTCTAGCATTTTTCCCACTGTTGATGGGAATATAGATACTGAACTCAATATATAAATACAGATATGGAATCCATCATTTGGTTATTTTATTTAGGAATACTTATATATTGCTAAATACATGCAACCAATCAAACGTTTGAACACACTTGACTGAATTTGGTTCTTATGATCTTAATATTTTGATCTAAATGCTAATGCTATAGTTTTTTTTTTTTTTTTATTAATTTGTAATTATATATCGACATTTTTAAAGTTTGGGATTTGTACTTTTTTCTTTTCTTTCCTTTTTTTTTTTGAAAGAAATTTGTTTATTTTTAATTAATGAAATTATTTTTAATTTACTTTTATTCAAAAATGATGCATTAAAATGATCAAAAGTGACATTGAAGGCATTATATTACAATATATTTGAAAATAAATGCAGTTATTTTCTTACATAAAAATATTAAGCATTAATATTAAGCAAATTTCTCAATATTTTTTTTTCCATTGTCAAAGCAAAGCAGTCCAGTATACAATATAAAGACACAGACTGATATTGATATTTAAGCAAGTGAGAAAAGTATATAACAAAATAAATATAACAGACATACCTTATAGTTTTTGGTGGTAGTAGGAAGTTTCAGTTTAATGCAAAAGAAGCAAAACAGTGTGTCGTAGATCTTTCCTGCTAGTCTCCCTGTAGCTCTTCTAGAAAAAAAAATCACTAAGGAAGACAGGACAGTATCTGAGATCATGGTTCCACCCCATTATGAACATAGAGAGACTTATTCAGAAGGACCCAGTCCTCTCAAGATGTCAACAGCTTTAATGAAACCAAAAAAAAGTCAAGGTCATCAGTTTCAACATGGGGAAAGTCTGGGTCTGAACAGAAGTCTAGTTTACCAATGACGTGGTAAGATCCTGCGCCGATCAGCCCCAGCCGTAATTAACAGCCAATGTGGGAAAGAATGACATTTTTGAATGTATCTTTTTGACTTTAACAAGCTAGTTAAAGGATATGTTGGTGGAGATGAGCATGAGTCACTGGGGACTGTAGATATTTCTATCAACTCTGCCAGCTTGACCTTGATGTTGAATAACTCCACATGCAAGTGGGAACATTGGTTTACATTGAGACAGCCAGGCATTCGAGACTCACAGATTCTATTTCAAGGCAAACAAAAAAAAAAAGAGACATCACCTTGAAAAGTCCTCGACTTGCGTCATTACTGTGATACCAGCATACTAGATGAACGCTGAGTCATCTTTTGAAAATGGCTAAATGCATAAAACTCGAGAGGCATGTGGGCTGAAAGTCAGAACACTTACAATTTTGCAGACTAAAATACAGTTTCGCTTTTTTTTAAAAAGGGTAAAAGGACACAGCACGACATTGAAGAAAAAACATTTTAATGACATGTTATGGCTGTTATTTATGTAAGACAGCAATTGCCAAGTCAGTGACAATTTCAAAACCAAGTAAAAAAACAGCATATACCATTATATACAGACATAACAAACAGTACATGGCATCAGAAATACATTATTAAGCTCAATGTAATAAAATCAACTGGTGTTCATCCTGGTAAAGAGTGTAACAGTCTTCCATCAAAACTAATTACAGTGTTATGGTCCTACAAATGACTCAAGTGCATGAAATTGAGGACCATGCCTTTCAGTACATCCTAACGGATAAAGAATTACTTTGGACCATTTGGAGTCTTTTTTTTTTTTAAAGACAGTTTTATTAAAAACTTTAAAATAATGGACTGAATCTTAAGCTGTATATATCTAGACCAATAAAAAAATAAATAAAATTATACGAGAGCACTTAATCGTGATTCGTAATTTAGGAACATGCTGAGGCACATGGTGGAACGAGACTTACAATTGCCATATGAATGGGAAAAATACCTCCCAAATTTTATGACAAAAATATTTACTTCATCGTCAGCATTTACTCTAGTTCAAGTTCCAGTAATCTCGCACAAGTATTGATTAAATCAGAGCCTGAAAATATCAAGCTAAACTAAAAAGAAATAAACTAATCATATTATTATCACACCCACTGACTGGGATTCAACATGCTTCCCAAAATACAAAAAACACAACACAATAGGAGACTCATGTTCTCCATGGCCACAGTTACCAATGAAAGCATTCTTGAAAACCCCCAGCCTGCAGAAAAATGAGTCAGTCTACCATCGAATGCATGCAATGAACCCCTTTGCCCTGTGAGATAGTGGACATATACATTATGTCGCTCTCCACAGGGCTGAGGTTCTGTCTTAAGGCGTCCTCTAGTGGTGTGGAGGACCAACTGTATGCCACGGCAGATCCCCCAGAGGGTCCTGTGATAGTAAAGCAAAGATTATGGCACAACAAGAGCTTCGCTAGGCTCACTGCATGACAGAGGGACTGTATTCTGGTCGACGGGTCTGGACGATTTTTGGACGTGGACGTCTGCCTCCATCCATTTCCTCCTCATTTCCTGAGCTTTCTTGATCGTTTTCACAAACATGAACAACCACGCTGGGAGTGGTGGGAGTTCCTGGTTGGAGTTCATACTTTTCACCTGTCGAATAGAGAGAATTTATTAATGGATGTTTAAAGCAGGTCAAATTAAATGACCTATTTTTTTTAAAAATGGAACATTCAGAAAAAAAGATTACATTTAGGAACGTGTTTCCTACCTGGCCCTAGTCTGGCAATGGCACACAGAAGGTCATAGTTAATGAATGGTGTGGCGTCCTTTGACTGCTCCCAACCAACAGGAGGAGACGGAGGAGGGGACAGGAGGAACTGCTTATCTGGTTTAGGAGGTTCCAGGTGTGGACTGCCAATGTGCACAGACTAGAAAGAAGGCAAGGTGGAAAAAGAGAGTTTTTTTGGTAATAATCAGCACACTGTAGCCATAACCAGGTGTGATAAAATAAATAGTAATAAAAAGACATTACAGTTTAGAAGTCATTATAAAATAATATACAATCATAAAATAATATAACATATACAATACAGTAGTTTTGTTTATACAGTTATAGTCACTTGATCATTATTTAAAAAAAAAAAACCCTGATGCATACATTTGACAACTGGGTAAAAAGATAAAAAAATATTCTTATTTAATAATG